ATATTATTTTAAATATTATACATGATATGTAATATATAAAAATTTTAATAAATAAAGAAGTTAATTCTTCCATTAGGCAAAATTTTCAAGCAGTATGTTATTTACCATATCCATTTGCACAGTCTAAAATTTTATAATTACCTCTAGATTGTCTTCAAGTGAAGCTCTATTGCTAATTTAATTGATTACAAAATCAATCTAATTGATTTGCTAATCTAAGAAATTACATTCTAACTGACTTTTAGAACAGGCTCTGTTAGATTTTGTACAAGCCAGAACACAGAATGGTCTTCATGATTATGTGCTAGTGGGTTATTACATTGGTATTCTTACTATCCTCCATTTTAACCTTCAACCAAAATATATGCAATCTTGCTTAGGGATTAGACGAGGAAACAACCTTACCTCTGAACATGTTTTTTTTTAGTCTTTTTCTTTCCCTCAAAATCTGAAGGTTTCTTTTGTTTTATGTCTTACAAAGAAGCACATGAAATCAGGATTATCTTTTCCCTCCTATTGTGAATCTTCCAGATTTTCACTTCAGAATTGTGATTCCTTTCTATGAATTAATTTTTGTTCAGGGCCAGAAAGGCCAGAGGCCAATATTTGTACTCAGTTGTGTTCTGGTGAAGCTATACCCTTCACTGCTGAAGCACATCCTTGCCATATAACAGTGGAAAGAAGACAGGATAGTGTAGGTGCTTCTTCAGATCCTGTGCCTGACCAAGGGTACGGAGTTGTTTTGTGCCAGAACTGTTGTGAAGCCCCTGATTCTCAGCTGTGAATAATGTTGCTGCAGGATGCAGGGGAATCCAGTGACAAGAGATGGTGATGCACAACTTGGTTTCCTGTCCCTGGATTTATAGATTGCCTAGAAGCAGATAGTGGAAAGCATTCAATACTGTGTACTTTAAACAAATTGTTAGTAATTGGTGCTTTACAACTTAACTGTGCTTATCCAGTTGAATTTGTTTGTACATCTGCTTTCTTGGGCTCCATCATCTAACCATCATTTTGTATTTGGATTGGAAAAACACATGAATATTTTGAATTTCTCTCCCTTTTAGAGTACTTAAATACTTTAGAAGAGTCCTCTTTCAGTCTTCTTTCAGTAAACTGGGAACTCTGAAGTCTAAAATTCCACCTATATGGCATTTCTTCCACCTTCACATCATTTTTCTTTTTCAGGAAAGGCCTTTCCATGGCCTCTTTTTCATCAGCCAGAACCCACTGAAATAGGCCTGTGTCAGAAATAGTTCCTGATGCTTTGTACTGTACTAAAATCATCTCCCTACTCATCCCTATGGAGGTGATATGAATAGAGGAATCAATATCATTTGCTTTCTCTTTGGTTCAGTGAACATCTATGTATTGTATGGGAACTGGAAGTATTCCAATAAATTACTTGGAAGTACTTCTACTGTTGGATATCCTGAGCTCTATGTAAATTTGAGTTGTTAAAATAGTATCTTTAGAGGCAAAAGTTTTAAACCTTGCTTTAACTGAGGTGAACAATGGGTCTGGGTCAAGGTGTCTCATGAGGCAATGCACCAATCATTAGGGTGTAGAATGTTCTCAGTGGTACCCTCGATGTTTCCTCTTGTACGGATTGTAAAAATTACTGAATTATTCATAGAGTCAAAAAGACAGAGAAAGAGTCGTCAGCACTTCCAGGAAGTCCAACTAGCAGGTAAAATTTGAATTTCAGTAAATGTACTGGAATTAATACTTGAATACTTTCAAGAAGATAGACAAGAAGTCATTAACAGAAATGATCAAGACCGGATGATCCCTCTAAACACTGACTGGGGGCCAGGGCCATGCTGAGCTATTTTTTACATATCTTTGGTCAGTGCATTAACATTGTGAGCTGCACAATCAGCCTCATGCTCAGCACTTTTTCCAGTTAATAGTATTCAACAGTTTTAGCTAGTATTTACAAACAGTTCCTTTGCTAGGAGAGAAGAAAAAAGCAACTCTAGAACCCTTTTTTGATACCATCTGTTTGTTTCCAAAGAGAAGTATAGAGTTGTATAGGCCAAACGTGGTTAAGTCTCCTAAGTGACAGCATGGAAATTATTAATACCTCCTTTACAAAGCAGGCTTATAATCTTGCTGAAACCTGCTTCCTCTGGGTAATTAGAATTTGTTTTTCTTTCAGTGTTCTTCTAGGCATGTGGAGCTATCCATAACATGACAGTCTATGTTTGAACTAAGTTTTCAGTTCAGTTTTGTAGATCCGCTTTAAGTCGCAGAGAATGCAACAACCATGCCAGGCTCTAATCTCCTCCATTCATTCATGTTTAATTTTCAGATAATGCTATGAAGAGTACAGCTAGGTTGTAGTGAAACTCAGTATTTCGAACAGAGCTGCAACCGAAATTGAACAGTTCCTACTTTACACTAGTAATAGTATTTATTCGCAGTGAGCGGTAATTTTTATTCATACACATATTCCTGGAGTGCTCTTTTAAATATTCTCTGATATGTATTTTGGGCAGAAATTGATCCTGGTGGATTGACAGGTAATTCTTAATGAAAAGCAGAAATCAGGAATTAGGAAAAAATACTGCTTGCTACAAATAAGACATTTGGCAAGTTTCCTATTTTTTGTTTCTTATGCTTTTAGATGTTGAGAATACTATATCAGATACTGTGGAATGGTTCCCAGTTCAAGCATGCTCATTAGTAAAAAGCCAGTGTTTCTTTTGGGATTGGATAAAATGAAAATCCTTATTTTAATAGACAGGAGGTTTAACACACAGGATTAATAGCCTTATTTACATCAACAGGAGTTGATATTTCCAGAAACTCTGAATGCCTCAAAGTGGAGAGGGAGTTCCCCTCTGTGTACCAATAAAACTAAATACCTGCTTTCTGTCTCTAGGAGAGTTGAAAAGGTGAGGCAGTCCTGCACTCTTGCCTCATTCCTTTTATTTTTTTGGCCAGCAGCAAAAGATAACTCGTAATATTTTTTGAGAGGAAAAATAATTTAAGACTAATGCAGTTTTCATCAGAGCTCTGCTTATGGTCTCAGACCTTGATTCTAAAATTCAAAAAATTATAAGATAAAATGTTAAACTATTCTTTTTAATAAATAGTAAGATATTGAAAGGTGAATCTCATAGAATGTGAAGATTTTGTACATTGCTCAGGACGTCCAGGCTTCTGGGCACTCAGAAATCTCAGATGCACCCACTGTCGGTATAGATGTTCTACTCAGTCATGTATATGAAGTAAGCCAACACTTCCAGGAGCTATCAACTAAATTGGTTGTGTGATGCACGGATGGAGATGTTAGCTTTCAGAATGTCCAAAGAAAAATACCGGTGTGGCCTTCCAAGCTGATTGAGAAGCCAAATTATCTGTATTCATGAGCTCTCTCATACATGAAAAGATAATGGGCAATGTGACTACAGGTCCTCTGTGTGTTAATAATTTATCAAAACAGATAAGCATCAAGTGTGCCCTGCAATTTTTGTGGCATTGATTCTTTCTTTTTTTTTTTAAAAAAGGCATTAAAATAGAGGCTTATAGCCAAAAATGACATTTCAACTGTTTGTATGCATTTACTCGAAACTATGTGTTTTCTAACCAGGGTGGTGAATAAGTTAACGATATCTTTGCATATTAAATCATGTCGTCAATGTTTGTTTACTGCAAAACATGTTTATTATCTAATCAGCTAAACTATTAACAAGATAAAGTGAGGAATGGGCATTTCAAAAACGGTTTGTTAGACTAAATCATTGTGGTTTTTAGCATCTATAAGAGTTTCATTCATACATATACGGGTTGCAAATCCTGTTACGTGTAATAGATGACAGTAAGAAGGAACTTTTTCTTGTCTGAGCTACCTGATTCTGGCAATCAGTGCAATCTAACAAAAACTTCTTGAAGTCTTGCAATTGATATGTCTTTAGGTTAATCATGTTATGTTATAATAGGTCACTGTCAGCTATTTTAAGTTATTTTTATATTAAATAAGCATTTCAGAACAACTAGAGGAATGAGAGGCTTCAGTCAGCAGTGTCTGTAATAAGCTGTGCTTCTGAAAGAACAGATTGAGCTACCCCCAACAACTTGTTGGTTTAAGGAATTTTGGTGGTTTACAAACTGGAGAGTTGAAGCTGGTACACATTCACAGAGACATAAAGAAATTTCCTATGTTCTTTATTAAGGATGTGGGACAACCTGTAGTTTCATTTTAGACATTTTTTGTATAATGCATTCTAAGTAAAAAGACAGTCTTGGTCAGTACTTTTTAGATCACTTTTCTGACCTATATTTTACAATAATCAATGGATTTTTACAAGGCACCACCAAAAAAAAACCTTACAAACAAGTTAATATAAATTTATTTCAAATATGATAGAGCTTTGAATATCATATCTGTCTTTATGTTAGTAAGGGCATGCATATAACTGTATTAACTTAATTCTTTAACAATTAGTCCATCAAAGCAATATGTTTCTTTCAATTTCTGGAAGTCTCAATCTCAAAAAATAAGAAATTATTCAGTCTCGTTGCTTGACAGGGCCCTTAGAAGAAAAGAGGAGTGATGTTTCTGGGGTCAGTATTAGAAGTATAGTATTCCATTAATGTACTACACTCCCAAATGATTCATGAAAGGAACACCAGTGGTAAATAAAAGATTAAAAGAGCCAAGCATAATGAAGTGTCAGTAAAAGTAAAAATGTAGGAAGTTTTCAAGGGACAGACAATATTACATTAAAAACGGAGGCATGAATTATATTTTGTTTATGAAGGACTCATTTTCAAAGGAAGATTTTGTCATCATTGTATATTAAAGTAAAATGCATTCTTTTCATGGGCAAGAGAGTACATGGTACATCAGAACACTACAGATATGATGGGAAAGAATATGAAATGGGATCCTATTTCATAGAAAATTAAATGGGAATTTTTTTGTTAATCTATCTGAAAAAAATGCAGTATTACAGTTTCTAGATAGAAAATATTTAACAATTTCTTTCAATTTCTAGTTTATAAGCAAAAATGGTGTTGTTTCTCCTAATATTTTTCAAGGTCATGTACTTTACAGAAGCTGACACAAAGGCTATGTAGATCTTTTCTAACTCGGCAAAATACTTAGATAAAAGGACTGTTACTGATAATGAAATGTATAGTCAGCTAATGACAAACAAATTAGGAAATCATAACATAATGTATAATCATAAGCAATTAAGAGTTGTGAGACAAGTTATAAGAAGAAAATCAGAAATATTTTTATGGAGATAATGGATTTAAATGATTACACACTAATAGTGAGATCGTTCAGTTTGGAAAGTTAAATAATTCAGTCTGTTAACTTCTAACTGCAATTTCCCAATATTATCACTGAATTATTTTTTACTACATTATTTTTGTGACCTCTTTATTGTAAGCCCTTAATTTGACATTAAAAGGTGAAGTGATTATAACAGCACATAACAGGGCATACAGTAAGGTAAATGATTGTGAGAAATCAAAATTTAACTGCCTTGTGATACTATAAAAAGAATCTTACTTTTAGAAAAAGAGTTTGCTGTTCATAGAATGCATTGGGCTGGAAGGGATCTAGTCCAACCCCGCTGCAGTGAGCAGCGACATCTTCAGCTAGATCAGGTTGCTCAGAGCATCCAGCCTGACCTTGAATGTCTCCAGGGGTGGAGGCTCCACCACCTCTCTGGCCAGCCTGTGCCAGTGTTTCACCATGCTCATAGTAAACCCATCCTGCTCTAAAACCATTGCCCCTAACCCTATCGCTACGAGCCCTCGTGAACAGTCCCTCCCCATCTTTCCTGTACGTCCCCTTCAGGTACTTGAAGGCCGCTATAATTAGCAGCGCTGCGAGGAGGAATTCGGGTAGAAGAAAACAGTGTGACCATAACTCCAGCTCCTTTCACAAGCCTTGATATGAAATGCAATGCCACCAAACACTACAGTCCTATGTAGTCTCTCTCGTTGCCTAATGGGTAGTACTGTCCATGGCTACATAAAGGACTGAACCTTATGATCTTATTTCTATGTGAATAACATCATAACTACAAAATATCTTCTTCGTTATGTGAATAATTCACCTGTCTCAGTAAGAACTGTTTGCTTTTTCTAATTTGTACCCAAACTCACTGAAACTTATGGGAAAAAAGTCAAGACATTAATTTTCCAAGAGGCAATCTGAGACTGTTCTGAATCAAAACTGGTTGGCGGAGGTCAAGGAGGAGGAAATTTCAGCTGAATTAAGTTAGGCATAAGGAACATTTACCATCTTCTTGCCATTAGCACTAAGAAGGGACATACACAGAAACTGAGGTCCCCAAACTGATCACATGTTAGAGCTTCATACCATCCCTCCCACCCTGTCACTCTTAGGGTGTTGGATCCTTATGGCAGACTGCCTGGCACTAGGAAGCAAGTTAGCAGTTTTGCATCAAACTTTCTGGGCCTCTTCAATGCATTCCATCTTATGCACACAGTCCTTCCTCCTCTACCGTGAGATTCTCATCAATTAGTTTGATTTAGAGATTACACTAGTAGGGAGGAAACTTCACTAAAATGTTTACATTGCTTGGTTATTGTTGACCTTCATATTGAGAAAGGTGGAGGACTGCAGTTTCCTTCGTAGAAGAAAGGCAGTAAATACCACAAAGGCCAAAGAAGATGAGTGATAGAAGACAACATCCAACCACTTTGTGGGATTCTTGGTTGTTTTATTTTGTCAGGTTTCATTTTGTTTTGGTTTGTAACTGTTCTTTGATTTTTAAAGGCAAAGGAGTTAGGGACTACAACCTGTGGAACACTTGTTCATTTTCACAGTAATTGGGGTGGCTGCCCTGCCTGGTTAGTAGCATGCTAATATGCTGAATCTTTGGAATTATTGAATTTATTGCAGTTGAGAGATTCAATTGCGTGCATTCATGACAGTCAATTAATCTGATCAGGAGAATAGCAAAATAACTAGATTACATTCTTGAGAAGATGCTAGGAGAAGGTGAGCTTAGGACTTTTCAAGGTCGAGCTTTTCTAGAAAGAAAAAGTTTTGGGAAAGCCAACAAAATCTCTCATGAGATGGAAAAAGGTGATTTAGAGTGGAAGATAGGAATAGAAATTAGCTATCAGACAACACCAGAATAAGGCATGGGCTTTATATCTAGACTGCATGCTACATTACTTATCTCAAATGTTTGAACTACTTTTCCTTCCGTTTAGTGCTATCTTTGTGGGATAATTATAAGCAATCTACAATGAAGAAAAAGGAAAATCAAAATAAGCTGAAGTGAGTTTAGGAAGTTCTGCACTACTGAAATTGCACTGTGAAAGATCTGCTGTTTATTTCAGTAATATAACAGTTGTCAATTTATTACCAGATTCTTCAATGAATTTGACAGTTTAATATTTTGTGACTGTTAAAGCTTTACTTCATGTAAATGTACTTTGATTTCAGACATTCCGAACAAATTTATTACAGGTCTGTCTCACGCTAATAATGAAAGAAGATAGAAAAAGATACATAACCAATCGTATTTTTGACAGTTTTCTGTCGAGTCACACTATGTGGCTTCAGCTGAGAAATGAAAAATAACCTCGCTGAACGTAACCATCTCGAGTCTAAAGAGAGTTCTATGAATTACAGTCCTGACATTTAAATCCTATATACAAGTAATATCTAAGTCATGAGAAACTCACACCATTCTGTCATGCATCGCTTGTTAATGACCTTCCTTGACATTATAAAAAAAAAAACTAAGAAAAGAAGAGTATCTGTAGTTACTTTACCATAAAAAGGTATTATGTAATATGAATAGCCCCATTCCAAACCCTGAAGTTCAATGAAATAGCTAGTACAAGTTTAATATGTTCATTCTAAAGGGATCGTATTTCAAGATAGACAATTTACAAATTTTCACACCGCTGTCTTTTTGTCCTATTATATTCAGAAGGCTGCAACAAGGAAAGACATGCAGCACCAGACGTGCAAATTAGGCAACAGTAGAAAAGTTAATGGAAAAAGCTGAAAGGGAAGAAAAGGGCAGAGGACCTCACTGCTCACCCAAGCTTTTTGCAGGGTTGCTTAATGGGAGGAAGAGAGCATAAGTTGGAACAAAAGAGGATCAGGCTGGATATAAGACAAAATGGTTTTTATGGAAAGCATTTTTCAACCTGAGGACAGTTAAGAAGTGGAACAGGTTGCTCAGAGAGGCTCAACAGTCTCCATACGTGGAGGTTTTCAAGATATTACTGAATAAACTCCTGAGCAACCTGATTTGATCTCATCACTGACACTGTCTTGAGCAAGAAGTTGAACTAGACACCTCCCAGAGTCCCTTGAAACCTGAGTTATTCCATCGTCCTACGATCATATAGTACTGGGTACTCAACCACTGGTAAAAAGAGAAAGCTTTCATAAAGTAACAGGAAAAAAGAAAAATTATTACTGAGGGGAAAACAGGTAATAAAGACCTTACCACAGTAGCTTTCTGCCCCATCGCCTATTACAACTGTAGAAGGGGGACAGGTATGTTCAAAATTAGGAACAGGAAAAATCTCAGTCTACAAAGTCTGCATACTAGCTCTGGAATAGGTGATGGGACTAGAGTAGGGAGTCTGCTAAGCTAATTTAGACAATTTTGGCCAGGGAAGTCCATATATGTTAAGGGTAATCTAAAATGCTTCTTTCCTTATACTATGTTTTTCTTTAATGACTCTTTGTTTTAGGAGAATTTTATTTCTATTCTTATGATGATAGATTTCAGTAAACATACCCTTTTGTATTTAGATCTGGTCACACCATAAATCTGAGTCACTTCACAGATGGAAGCTACAGCCTTGCCCGGAAAGGTGAACATAATTGGGGTGTACTTTACAGAAATGTTTGTTCTAGCTATGTTAAAGCTTCTATTGAGTCTTCAGGTTGCTTCCACACTAGGCTGCAGGTGTCTCTTTGTACTGTTAACACTGGTTTCTGCAGAAAAATTCAACTCCCTTGTAACTTCTTTGATGAGCAGCAGGAAAGTGGAAAATGACTTCACACTTTAGGGAGGAGGAGAAGGGAAAGTTTTCACTTTCAACTTGTCACACTAATATAAAATATACTTAAGATTGTCTTCCCAATACTTTTTTTATTCTGTTCATTAGTCTACAAATATGAAAGGCTGAGTTCCATCCCTAAGACTAAATCTTTGTTTTGCTGATGTATTCAAAATAGAAATAAAAGTGTTAACTCTTCCAAAGTTCACAGCTTGATGATGACAGTGATGCTGGAGGGGATGGGGAAACAACTATTAGTTTCACTTTAACTAAAAGTGAAATGGGAAAAAATACATAAAATGTCAGTATCAAGGATATTAGTAAAAATCTTTGAAGATATGTACAAATATTAAAATAATTTCTAATTTCAGGAGAAAAGTGGAGTTGAATGTACAATCAAAGAAAATAACATTTTTATCTTATGCAACTTTGTTTCTCTTTTAGTGGCAAAGCATTACTATAACACTGGTTGAGAAAGTGCAGATGGTTGCTGTAATCCTAGGATCTCTGTTCTTAGTAGCAAGTGTGACTTGGCTTCTATGGTCAGCCTTCAGCCCTTATGCAGTATGGCAAAGAAAGGACATCCTTTTTCAAATCTGCTATGGAATGTATGGTTTTATGGATCTAGTATGCATAGGTAAGCTCAAAATCTTTAAACAGCACAGACTGTGGTTTAAGACTGTGACTATATCTATTTTTTTTAATTGGTCACTTTAATCAATCACTCCAGTTCTTTGCAGATTTATTCTCAGCTGATACCTTTGGCAAATACTGCTTTTTACAGTGTTACAAATACTGCAAAGAGAAAAGAACCAAAGAAGCTTTACTCAGATTCATCAAAGTGTCCCCACAAGATCTTAGTAGTGAGAACAGGATCAGTTCTAATTTCTTGAGCAAATAGACATCTAGCAAAGTTTAGAAAGTTAAAGAGATGAAAATGACAAATACAGTATTAAAATAATTATTAAAACTATGTGCTGTCAAGACTTCTACTGATGCCACTTTCCATTAGATTGCACCATCATGAAGTGCAGAAGAAGCCCTTGAGGGTGTCATCAAACTACTTATCCAAAATTAAGTTGCACAGACTTCTGTATAGGTCACTGTGCTAGTAATAGTGAAGATCAATGAAGACAGGCATGAGTTCCTTATATATCGTAAATGGTTATGAAACACTCTAGTGCTAACTACAGTAACTTTACTATTAAAAATTCTCAAGTCATTGAACTCTAGTTGAAATCTTATAAAAGAGAATGTAATTGCTGCAAAGCTATTTTGACATTTTGAAATTTCTGAAAATATACTAGACTCAGAAATATTTAAATTGAAATCCCTTTAGTATTTTATAAAACAACTTTAAATTGATTGTTAGAACAGGTACTATTATTTGCAGAGAAAATTTAATAATTTCAGTAAACATTAAACCACATTCTGAGAATTACAATTAAAAAAAAAAAATCTAGAAGTCAAATGCTGTCTGATGTTTGCTTGGAGATTTCTGAGTGATAAATTCTGCTCAATAAGGTGCAAAGAAACAGAGTGATTCCTAATATCAAGGCTTTTTCTCCAATCATTTTTTTCTCCATCCATTTTTTACTTACTGTAAAAGTATTTATATTTCAGCTCTATCAGCAGTTCTGTTTATTTTGTAATTTTTCTAAGAGAAGCCCACTTTGGAATATTTTGAAATACAGGCTCTCTTCTGTGAACCCACATTGTTTCAGACAGAATAATGAATGGAATCTAGGTCTCTCATACTCTGGACAAGTTCTCAGCCTTTAAATGATTAAAAGGGCTGAGCTACATGTCATCTTACATGCTGAATCCCGAATACCACTTTTTCTGACTTAATACTCACTATTGAGGTTTTTGCTTTTGTTTAAGAAAAACACTAAGTGAAGACAAAATGTGCTTCAGGCATTCTAAATACTTCATTTATGTGGAATTCTGTGTGTTTTGTTGGTGTTTTTTTTTCCAAAAAAATTGCATTTGTAAAAAAATTACCTTGGTATGCATCAACTAGTTTGAAAAAGCAGTTATTTCAAACTGTTTCCATTTCTTTCCATTTGTTTGACTGTTAAAACACCTAAACCATATTAATCTCAAAATCAGTCAAGAATGTCTGTGAGCGATTGGAAATATTTGTGTATTTCCCTATAGAAGTAAAGTATTAGAAGTAAAGTATTATTTCAGTAGATTGGTACATGTAGTTATGTAGCTGCCATTCAAGCCAGCCAGGCTCAAGCCACTTCTGGACTGGAAGCTACTGAGCTAACATGTACCTCACATGGCTGTGGAGCTTCTGGCCTCCTTCACGCAGGAGCAATGTAGACATGCAGCTGTCTTCACCCACCAGATAAACTGACTTACCTGTAATTACATAAATGCATATTTTTTAGTTCCATCATAAATAATACATGGAAATTTTTATGTAAAACTCACTATAATTGAACATATTTGGACAGTGTTTTGTAATTCCAAATTTCAGTGCAGATATGATGTAACAGTTTACTAAACTTATCTGAATTCAGAAAACTGCATAAAGCAGGTCTGGTAATTGTAGAATTCTGATGATCCAGATTAATTACCACTCATTCTGCACATAATTTCATGTAATCTGTATTCTGTCTGCTTATAAAACCAGGAGGTCTTGCAACTCTTGAAAATATTTGCTAATATATTCAACTTTATTCAATGTTATCTTTTTCAATCATCATAAAGTGAGGGATATTAGATTGATAGTTTTAATTTAAAACATTCAAGTGAAGTTCTCTAATAGATATACGTAATTATGACTCATAAAAGATTTAAAAACCTCCACAACTCTGTCCATTATGCTGATTTTACCATTGCATATTTTATATATAATCTCTTATATCATAAAGCTCGTAATGCTGACAGCCAGCCACAGTTCTCCTTTAGTATCTCCTCTCATTTCTGTTTAGTTATCCATGGAATTCTCTTAGTTTTCAACAGGATTTACAGTGAGTGAATATCTATACTCCCACTGGAATATCTCTTTATTTCAAAGAAAAATCTATGCAGACATACAGGTTTTCCTGTGCAGCATATATTTCAAGACAAGTGCTTGAATTACTGGTAGTATAGCTAAGATTTACTCCAACTGCCTTGTTATGCCTCTCTGTAGCTTTGGATAAACAATAAGAATACTTTTGGCCATTTGAGAAGTGTAAATATCTCTGCTCTTTGAAATGTTTTGTGATTTTTTTTAAAAGCAGTTTGCCTGAAGGTACTGACATATTTATATGGTATCTCTGAAAACTTGAATGTGTTAATTTGCTTTCCTAATGATTGATTTATATAACATACATAGCATACCACCCACTTTCTTGTCAAGAAGTCACATGTGACTTGTATTTTAATTGTTGGTGGTGTTTTATTTTTCACCAGAAGAAATAACCCTAAGATTACAGATCATCAATATGGTATATTCTATTCATTCCAGTGTACATATCTTATTGGTAACCATTGTTCTCTTTGTTCTACTCTAAATTTTTTTCAACAGCTCTTTCTGACAGAATTGTTTTTACTTATCAGTGTTAGTTTCAACCGTACAAGCCACTAGTTTGTACTTTTATGCTCCTAAGCTGGGCATAAACCTGTTCTCTTGGAAACTTGCTGGTGGTGGAAGTTTTGCTAAGGCAAACCTTAAACATTTTAATCAGATAGAACTATGGTTTGCAAAACCCAGAGCTATTGCAGTGGTAGTGCTAGGACCAGACCATCCATGTAGGGATCACCAAAGGGAATGAGTCCATGAGTTAACGTGAAAGGAACGAATAATATAAACTCTGTATTTAGGCACTGAAGGACAGTACACCAAGCCTTCGTCTAGATCTACTTTGTAGACCTAGCAGTTATTTCTTGTAACAGTGAAGTCATATAGTTGTGTATATTTTCACCAGAATATAATCGTAGCTATTAGTTATAAATGGCTCTAACATGAGCAAGATCTCTCACAAATACTGACAGCTCACTTGCAGTCCCAGAACAACTGTGAAGCTTCCTTAGAGCAGGACAAGCAGTTGTGACATTGCACTAGAAACACGAGTGGTGCCAGTAGTACTAGAGTAAAGGAGTAGGAGACAGCAGCCAACGTGAGGTCCTAGGGTAGTATTGAAACATGGCGTTTTGTCCAGTAGTATAATCTGTTTCCTAAAAGGGTCTTTTATTCCCCGGTAGAAGTTTGTGATGTTTCTGGAAGGACCATTCCTGAATGCTTATGAGTGTGATAAATAAGACAATGTTGGAACCTAATACCACCAAATCTGAATGAACTAAGTTGCCTTCTTGTAGAGCCATTCAGTATGAAAAATTTCAAGTGCTCTTGTGACTCAGAGTAAGAAATCCTTTGAATAGAGTGAAAGAATCTCATAGTACTTGCCAATAAAACAAAAGAAAATTATGGTCTTCCCTTAACCCTATTATCTGGGTCCCACTACAATCCCTACATCTTAGAAATAAATCCTGAAGGTAAAGTCCTCTTAGAGCCTTAGGACACTTTTGCTAGGTCCATCATACCAAAACCTCTGTTCCTTATAGATATTAATTGGACAGAACATCAGAACAGATGACAGTAGTGAATTCTAACACTTCCTCTTGGGATCATCTGGGTCAAACAAGTAATTTTTTTCCCCTCTAGGATTGTGTGATGATGTTTTCTGTGCTGTTAAAATCATAGTATTTGGAAGAAGTCAAGATTATTCATGGATTTATCCTTATTTTCACTCCCATATCCTCATTCATTGCAGTAGAACTCTTAAGAAAAAAAAAGATTCTTTGCTATTTTCTCACAGCTTCACTCAGTGACTAACTGTTTATATTTTGAGCTTCAGAACTTGTCTGGACCTGAAAATCTCCAGAATTTAAACCTTACCCAGTTTTCCTCTTATTTGTGGTCCTGGAAGTGTTGGTGAGAGGTTTTATTCCCCTTTTCCCTCCCCTCCTTCACCCCGCCTCAAAAATATCTCTCAATAAAAGATCTCTTGGAATTCTTTTTCCTCTTTAGGTCTCATAGGTCTTTTTCAGTCTGAAGTTTTATCAGATGGCAAATAAAGCTTTTTTATAAGGGGAATTATGAAAGTGCTCCTTTTCTTCTTCCGCATTGCCAAATCTGACAGCTTTATTTCAAGCCTTGCAATATTTCATCCCTTGTTCAGTAGCTCTTCCATTTTAAATAGAAGTTCCTTGCCATTGTTGAAAAAAACATTGAAAACATAATTTCAGTAAATCCTGAAAGCTCAAAATCAGTTAAAATGAGCTCACGAAAGAAATTGTCCTACAACTTTTTCTGTCATGATTTTGGGAGGATACTTTTAACTGTTTAAATGTACTTCATGTACCTCAATGATCCGTTCTCAACTGCTTCCTTCTCAATTCTGAAATATGTTGTTCAGGTTCCAGTAGAGTGCAGGCAGGTATCAAAAATTCTTTACATTGGACTAAATTGGTTGTCGGAATTTTGCTTCAGCACAGTCTTGAGGAAAATTGGCCCAAAGAATACCATGATCCAGTGGCAGGTAGAGGGGAAATTATGCTCATCTCCTTTATCATTCTATAGGAAATTGAATAGAAAAAAAAATGTGGGGGGCAGATCTTTGTCACAGCAATAAAACCATGGCATTTTTTTTTTTTTTTTAGACTCTATATGTGGTCAAACACATTTATCCTAAGACAACATAGCCAGTCTTGAAAGTATATTTGTGTATTAATATAACTGCTAAATTTTTAGGACAGGTTGCTTTATATATGTCTGAGAAGATGAAGATATCCATCTTGCAATGAAGAAAATTTTCCACTAAAATGCTATGCTGGTAAAAAATACATTTAGAATATTTAACATTTCAGCTTACATCGTGTTAATTTTGCTGTCTCAGATGCTTCAACAAATTCTAGGCAACTTGAAAGCCTTACAGAAATGCTACCTTTGCTATCACGTTCTTCTGAAAGCAATCTTTGTGTTTCTCCATCTTTCAATGCAACAATCTTTTAAAAAATGTGTTAGAGTAGGCATTGCTCTGTGCAAATCATTGCGCTTGCATCTGAGGTTTGCTGTTCATATAAATGTTTTTATCATCCTTTCTGCTTGTGTCACCTTTCTTTGAATGTCTCCTGGCATCAGGTAACCGCTTTAAGAGACCTCAGGCATTTAAATCATAATTTCATTGCATAGGAAAAGATGATAAACAATTTCTTGGGATAAAAGACTGTAGCCTGTGACACCACAGATCATATTATAGGTATGTCCATGGACAGTAATATTTTAGGCAAGAAAAACACTGGACAAAAAAATTATGAATATTTTTGACTAGGTGGATTGCTCCCCTTCCAAAGCAGGGGGCCAGGGAAAATTTGTCATGTTGCTCAGAATAATATAATTTTTGAGGCAATTTGAGGAAGAACCTATGAAGCAGGCATCTCCCTGGGAAGTCCCTATTTGAAATACTTACACATAAAGAGTGTGTGTATAAATACATACATACATTTATATGAAAAAATAAGAGTTTCACTTAATAAATTGCTTGAACGCATATAATAAGCATAAATATTAGCTACACAGAAGTTCATAAGCAGACTGGTCTGTTAAGGAGTACAGATAATCTACACTTTCCTTGAAGGACCTTTTCAAAGATTTCCTGGTTCTCAACAAAAAAAGATGCTTCTCAACTTTTGTCAACTGAATTTTGAAGAGAAAGACAAAAGCCTACCATCCTTGCCATGTTCATTGTAGTTAACATTCAATTTCTTCTTGCTCTATTGAAGCAGGACACAAAAGTCATTGTATTTGAAACTGTTTCAGGTCTTCATAAATCATCTATGCTCTTAAATTGAACGAAGAATGTGAAAACAGTTAAATTTGTTTATATCTGTACTGAATTCTACAAAACACTCTTAAACATATTTAAGACCATCGTGTTCGTTACAGAAGGTCTAACCTACTTACAGATCTACTTAACTGAGTACAATTCTCAGTAAATAAATAGTACTTACCATGAACAGGGATAACACTAGCATAAACAGGCAATTTACAAATCTGCCAGTAAGGTTCTTTTACGTTGGTTTATTTAAATGTAAATACTTTCCTTAGGCATGCTCAGATTATTCCAGTAATAGTTTTGCTGAACTTTCATTCAGAATAATTTTATTTCCTCTGCATGTTCCCTCCTCCCAATCTTAAACACAATAACAACCAGTTATTTTGCATATGTGCAATCTGTTTGAATTATCAGCATTACAAGTAGGCTCTAGCAATTACTAGATTCATTACAATGTGTTAATTTGCTCTTAGTATCCATTGAGATTTTGTACAAACTCTTTTTTTTCCTTTCTTAATTTCAGGACTGATAGTACATGAAGGTGCATCAGTTTATCGAGTGTTTAAGCGCTGGAGAGCTGTGAATCTACACTGGGATGTGTTAAATTATGATAAAGCCACAGACATAGAAGAGAGCAATCGAGGCGAATCCTCCGCAGGAAGGACGTTGTGGTTACCACTGACTGCATTTAGAAACAGAAGTTTAGTCCATCCAACACAGCTAACCTCACCAAGATTTCAGTGCGGCTACGTATTGTTACATCTTTTCAACCGCATGAGACCTCAGGAAGACTCATCAGAGGATAACGGCTCTGGGGAAGTGGTGATGAGAGTGACCTCGGTGTAAAATTACGCTCACTGTGCTACACAGATAAGAATAATATGCCCTGATGCTACAGGACTTTGGAATGCAGTTCTGATGAGTGGCAAAACCATTAACACTTGAAAAAATATATACACATTTTTTAAAAAATTTAATGCTTTTTATAAGAACAGCTAAAACACAAATACATTTTTTTGGGGACAAAAAAAAAAGTGTCTTGCTTTTTATATAGTCTTGTTTATTAGATCATTTGTCAATTTGTACCTGAGGTGTATACAATATAGTTTAACTCTTAGGTCTTTGAATTATGAGGAAACTCATTTTTAAGTAAAAAAATATATTTAAATGTATTTTCTTAAACTCTGTCTTTAATCCACTACTGTTATTTTTTCCCACTTTCATGAGGATTAAACTGAATGACCTTCTTCCAAAAAAGAAAAAGAATGTTGACATAAGTCATGTATTCTTCCTCTTTTCTGCCTTTATGTTGTTGTTTGTAGCTCATTTCAGGTGTATGAAAGTACATAAGGGACATGTTGTCACTTGCCTTTAAGCTGGAAGTCCAGTGGATGTTCTACCAAACATAAGGGAAGATGTGAACTCTTTCTTTTAGCTCTCTCCCATGGGACGTGCAAGATGTCACAGAGCACTGGTGCTGAGAAATGACCTTACCTTCCCTGCAGTGGTGCTGCATTCACCATGAATTTCTAGTACTGTTTTTACAATAGAACATTGACATCCCATAGCTTTTTAGAAAAAAAAGAAACATACATTACTATTTCTGGAATAATAATAAATCCTAGTGGAAGCAAGTAGAAATAATGCAGAGCCTTAATTTTACCAGGTGATGAATCATCATGCTAAAAATGAGCAAATATTCATTTTTATCATGATAGCTAGTCAATGCTATGAAGTTTGCTTCTTTGCTTTTGTCTCATGAAAAAAAAAATCTAGTCTCATTTAACCAAATGGGAATGGAAATTATTTCTGAGTTAATAATTACTTCTGATGAAGATCAAGATGAAAAATTAGGACTGAATTGACTCTGAAGTACTAGCTTAGTTAAAACAGTTTGTGTGGGTTGACGTTGGTTGGCTGCCAGATCCCCATGCAGCTGCTCCCTTCCCCTCCTCAACTGGACGGAGAAAATAAGATTAAAAATCTTGTGGGTTGAGACAAAGTTACAGGTGTAACTTAACAATTACTGTCACAAGCAAAAAAAGAGACAAAACCAGGGAAATTATTTAACTTAACTTATTGCCAATTAAAATAGAGAAGGATGGTGAGAAACACCTTACTTCCACCCAACCCTCCTTCTTCCCAGGCTCAGCTTCACCCCTTCACTCCCCACTCCACTACTTCCTCCACCCCAAGTGGCACAGAGGGCTGAGGTCAGTCCCCAACCGCTCCTCTCTGCCACTCCTTCCTCCTCACACTTTTCCCTGCTCCAGCATGGGACCTGTCCAGGGCCTGCAGTCCTTGGGGATAAACCTGCTCCAGCATGGGCTCTCCATGGGCCACAGGTTCCTCAGGGCATGTCCAGCTCCTGTGCTGTGGGGGTCTTCCAGGAGCTGCAGTGCAGATAACTGCTCCAGCATGGTCCTCTCCTTGGGCTGCAGGACATACCTGCTCCACTGTGGTCTCTCCAAGGACTACCAGCTCCACCAACATCTCTCCAGGGTCACCGGGGAATCTCCTCTTGGGACTCGCTGTGCCCGGCATGGGGCCAGCCTCTCCTCACAGAGGCTGCCATCCCCACCTGTGTACCCACACCTAGTACACAGTTAAATATTTTTCTCTTTCAGAATAAGTTGCAACCCATGGCTGAAAATTCTGGAGTTATTTTGTGCTATAGCTGGAGAGCTGTGCCTAGAAAACTCCTTTGCGGGGATCAACAGGATGATGCTGGAGTCAGCGCATGCCTTCCCTTTATGAGAAGTTCAAATCTCAAGACCAGAGACAGGAGGCTTCCGTAACTGGACTTGGAAGGGAGATAGAAATGAATTAAGCACTGGGGCTAAGAGCTCCTCATATATGCATAAACGTTTAGCCAGTGAACTCTAGACAGGGCCCAGCATGCTGCGTTACAGTCTCACAGGCTGAAATTTGCACATACTAAATCTACAGATGACTTAGAGCTCTTTGAACAATTCTTGTGAAGAGCAGTATATAAGCCATGAGCAGCAAAATTCGGTTTCTGAAAAATTCATTTTATCTCCTGCATAATAAATTACTAACATATGACATGGAATCTCATTGAGAAACTATAAGAATTCACTTCTAGGTTATCTTCTAGATTATCCAAGGGAGGAATTTGTGTAGAAACAAAAAATGAGAGAAACTATGATGACTGGGGAAACCCGCTGTATCACTGGGAAATCCTTGTTCTTCATCACTACTTAAATGAAACCTGTGGTCCATTTCCAGAAGGATCAAAACTCCACATGACCAAATTGAGGTCAGTTAGTGTCTCAAAAAATGTGCTTGTGATACAAGGACGATAAGGCACCCTGTGATAAATATACTGGAAAGGTTATGTCTCACATCTCTTAGGTATGTGATCTCTGGGTTTTAAAGAATATTTCACTGGTCTTTTTATAGGATTCTAAAACCAAAATTGACAACTATAGGAAAACATTTTGTTATGAAGATACCTTTTTAACTCAGATCCAAATAATTAGGGTGATGGAAAAAAATCCTCACCAGAGTATATCAGTAGATTTCTGTGTATAAATATTTGAAAGACACCTGGATCTAGAACACTTAACAGCTTCTGAGGGAAAAAAGTGGTCCAATTAAGAGTAATAAAAATTAGTAGTGATAGAAATGTTTAGAGCAAATATCAGAAAAGCCTTTTTAATAGTAGGATTAGTCATCATTAATAATTTCTATGGCATGATAATTTTGTATATGTCTGCATGTGCCTATTTCTGTACCTAGCAAGCAAGATCAGGAAATTATAAACAGTGACAGGATTAGGGTGGGCAGGGTGCAGTTGTAAGAAAACAATGAAATCTATGGCTGTGTTGTCCTGCAGAATGTTTTCAGCAGCTGGACTGCCTAGCGCAGGATATGAATATTTCTTCGTTGACCTTACATTTGGATTTGTGCAGTACTGCAGCAATGCGATACCAACATGCAAGATAGGTGAATCCAAATCAGCACAGGTGCAGAGAGTAGGATGAAGAAGGAGTAGGGGCACTATTTCACATGAGGAAATTAGTAGAGTGTGTCTTGTTCTGCTTAACAAAAATTGAGAACAAATGTTATTGTTCTCAGTTAATACATTGCAGTATAAAATTTACTTCAGGCGAAGAACAAGCCTAAGAAGCACAAGAACTCAAGGACACAGATCACAAATAAATGCAGCTGGGAGTTCAAGGCAGTTTTAAAATATTCATAGGATGAATCACAGACACTAATTCAAGTTGGAAGGACCTGTGGGAGGATGTTGAATCCAAGCTCCAAGGTCAGTTCTGAGGTCAGACCAGGTTTCTTGGGGCTCCAAGGATGGAAACTGCACAAACTCTCTAGGCAGTCACCTCCAGCTCTTGACTGCCCCCAGAGCAAAAAAGTATTTCCTTCTATCCTACCTCTGCCCTTGTTCCATCTTGTACCTATTGCCTCCCATTCTCACATAATGCCCCACTGTGAAGTGGGTGGCTCTGTTTTCTCCATAACCTCTTTGCAGGTCCTGGCAGGTGCTGCTAGGCCTCCTCTGAAGCTGTCTCTTCTCCTGTGTGAACAAGTCTTGATCCCTCAGCCTCCCCTCTCAGGGCAAGTGCTCTGGCCCTCAGCCAGCTGGGGGACCTTCTGATGAACTTGCTCTTCTGCTCTGCTTCAGATGTCCCTGCCAGCGAAGCTGCCATGGAGGAAGACCTCCCCTTCCTTCCCTCAAGGGCAACTCAGCCAGAGCTTGACACACAGGCAGCTGCCCTCCCTCCTGTCCACCACAGCCTACACACCGCACAGTAACCTCAATAAGCAAAATATTTTTACTATCAGCCACAAATGTGCAAACTCCTCCTGCACAGGTACACAGACGTACTTGGCTTCATTTTTCCTAAATGCAACCAGTCAAAATGAATAGTGTAGGGACGGAAATTCAGTCCCAGGTGCATGTCTCCTATCAGGAAGCATCCCTGAAAACAACTTTTGCATCTTTTTTTGAAAGAAAACAATTAAATCCATAAAAGGCATGAATAATTTTAATGTAATGTGTTTTTTCCCCTCAGACATAGCTTCCCAAACTGTGCAGTACATGCCTGATCTACTAATCTGACAAGACAAGAAAATCTATCATCCAGGCGCAGACTGGCTCTGTTCTGGTAACGTTTCTTGTTAGATTTTGCTGTTTCTTGTCTTAGGCAGATTCAACTTGTATTAATGAACTTTAGAAAGGAATCTGTATAAGCTTTGACACTTTGAAATGGAAACTTTTATGTACATCCGCAGGTATTACCAATACATTTCAAGCTACATTCAGCACACACTGGATTGGGGTATTTGTCCCCACTAAACACATCTGGGCTATCACTCGCTCACAGATGTTAAGGTAATTTATTCACATCCAAGTTTGCCGCTAATGACAATTTGGCATTTGTCCACGAAACAAAAGTTTTTAAGAGAATCGTTTAACATTTATCCTCACATCAAGTATTTATTGCCTTCATTGGACATTAATTTGGGTATTATGTATTTAATAAAACATCCATTTACTCCAGTGGAGAAAAGTGTTCTTCATGTTGTTTATCATTTAAAACACTTTTGAAAAAGAACAAACACAATCTCATGGTAAGTAAAACCCCCCTAATGATCAGTTTTTCATAAGGATAAATTAATTTTTCTGTTCTCTTCCCAAATTCTCATGGTTTTTGTGACAGTTTCCAACCCATCACAGAAGAAAAGCCCCAGATACACTATGGCCTGTACTCTGAAAGGTGTGTGATTTGCATGACAGGACAGCTTCAAACTCACCATTTAGGTCAAACCACCATTCAGCTCTTGTGCCTTCATCCTGTTGGTGGAAGGGGTAGAGGTCCAGGCAGTCTCTTCCACCAACCA